GCGCGCTTACCTTGGGGAGGAAGGCTTCCCTGCACCAGGTTGTTCGCCAGACGTTGCTATTTCTCATAGCTAAACAAAGTCTGGGATTTATTTGGAGATTGGAAGGGATTGTGCTCCTTGAGTTGATTTTGAGCAAATAGTTACTGCCTTGAAAAGCGATTAATCAGCCCGTGGATTCCTTCGCCAATGTGTGTGTTAAACCGCACGCTCTCCCTGTGAGTTCAGCAGCAGCCAGTGCCCAGGTCTGAGTGCGCTGCAGCCTCGGGTCTCGGGCGCCGGCGTGGCCAGTGAGAAGGTCTTTTCTTCCGCACGTCGAGGACCCCTCGCCCTCTCCCCTTTCCACCCTCGACTTAACCTGACTACTTCTGGCCAAAGACCCAGAGGGAAAGGAGGAAATAAAGTCAAAGCCACAATCTTGCGCTTGGGACCTCGTTGAATGCGAAGGTGCTTTAAGGAGAGTTTGAACAGCCATTTTGCAAAAAGGGCCTGCCTCTGAGCAGCTCCCCTGCCTTCAGTGTCTCTATGCTCCTGTCTGTCAGCGGAGCAGAGAACACAGGCGTGAGCCCCTCATCCTCCTCTGCTCGGGAAGGGCAGTCTCTCTGAAGCTTTGAACTTGAATGGTAGAAAAGATGCGAGAAGCTTAGTATAGAGCTTTCTGAACAGCTGATGTTCAGAACGGAAATCAATAGGCTAACTTCCTGTCAACACCAAAAATTGTACAGGACTTATAGGAGCTCAATATATTGGCATCGGCATTCTCTAAAGCGTTGCTATATTATACAGCCAACCTTCCTGTCCCATACACCACCCCCTCCCCCACTGAGTTGAGATTCTAACTTTTCCCAGACGGGTTTTGTCCTCCGTGATGACAAGTTAGCCATCAGCTGGCTGCTCCTCTGCCTCACAGTGTGTGCGTTTCCACGCCCGCCCCCTGTGGTCATGGGAGACACACAGTCACCTTGGAGGTGAATTGAGACCAAGAGATTGCCACCTTGTGCAGTCATGCCCTCCCAGCTGCCCCACAGAACCCTGGTCTCCCTCGTCTAACCCTCTACTTCCTCTCTATCTATCCCCACCCTCCCCATTGGTGTCTTGCAGGTTTCGTTAGCTACGACAATCCTGTCTCGGCACAGGCTGCTATCCAGGCGATGAATGGCTTTCAGATCGGCATGAAACGCTTGAAGGTCCAGCTGAAGCGCTCCAAAAATGACAGCAAACCTTACTGATCTTAGCCCCTGAGGCTCCCTGCTCTTATTTAGCTTTCTTAGGGTAAGTCCCACGCGCGCCTGTCCTCAGCAGGGAAGGCACAGGAGGACCACACTTTGCCAACCTTTACCAAGAGAGACGGTGATTTTTACAAGAAGGCCTCCGTTCCCCTTCTTTCCCCCCCACCCCAATTCCTCCCACCCAGTTTGCCATAATGAAAACTTGGGCTACCTTGTTTTTATCAAGTAAATTCCTCCTCCAGTTGTGCTATTGTATTTCCCTCTGTTTTGCGATTTGAATCTCCTTTGACCTTTTTTGTTGTTGTTGTTTATTTCGGTTCATTTCTTTGTATTCGTTTTTTGTTTTTTAATTTTTTTCTTTTCTTTTTTTTTTTTTAAGAAAACTTACACAAATAAAACGTCATCTCGAGAATTGAAAAGGAAAACAAATGCTAATGTGCAATTTTAACTCTGAAACCACTGGTGCCCTGAACTCACTGTCTGGGCTGCCCCTGAGCAGGGCACCAGCTGGTGAGAGGTCCCACACGTGGTGGCCCAGTGAGAGAGGCCAGGGGAAGCACAAGGCAAAATCAACACTCATCCTTCCACTACATGGGTTCGTTTTCATCCCGTCGGATGTTTATTTTAGGGATCAAAGACACATGCCATTTACTGGTCAGCTTATTACACTGGTTGTCTATTCTGTTGTTGTTTTATTTTTGTTCTTAGAAGGGATTCATGTAAAAAATAATAAACAAAAAAAGATTTAGAGATCTGTTTCTTAAAGCTACAGGGTTTAAAAATAAAATTTAAAACATGAGTGAGCATACTTGATGTTTCTTGAGAGATAAATTTAATAATAATAAATAATACATAAATAAAAAAGAAAGCCACAGGCCTGTAAATTTTATTTGTAAAAAAAGCATTTCTATTTTTATACAAAATTTTTACTGCCTCAGAAATAATGGAAGTTATTTATTGCCTATTGTTAACTTATTGGATACCTAAAGAGCAGTTCTCTGTGCTAGCTGGGTCCTTTTGAAGTCGTCTTTAGAGGTATTGTTCTAGGAGGGGGCTTTTTTCACTGCTGAACCCTAGACCCGGGTAAAGTTCATGCTCTATCCTCTCGTTGTTTGTACCTGTCTGATTATTTTGTTCGTAACTTCCATGATCTAGTTTAAAGTCCGGTCGTCTGACTTTCCCCACATGTGACATTCGTTGAAACTGGATCCTCTCCCCTGTTCCCCACCCCAGAGCACCCCGAATCCATCCCCCTTGCTCTCTCTGGATGGATTCTCCTGGGGTTTCATTGTGCCGTGGATAAAGATTGTAAGAAATGCAAATTTATGTGAATGGCTCGTAGACTCCCTAATGACCTAAGATTTGCATTAGTTGTTCTTCTGCACCCTTAAAAGTGATTATGTTGCTGCTGCATAGATCCTGTGTAACTTTGTACTCTTCCTTGTTTTCTTCCTATAGACATCTTCATGCCCGTTAGTTCATCGTTTGCCTAGCATGTCCCTGTGGCGTCTCAAAAACAGTTTCATCGTCCCGTCATTGTTTCTGATGTCTTTCTGACCTCACGTCATATTTGGTTCTCCTACTGACCTTTGATCTAGTTTGACCTTTGAAATTTGCATGTGACCTCATCTAGCTATGAATTCTGGGAAGTCAATGTGGAAAACATTGCTGCATTCATGCAAGACTGAAATTTATTATTAGACAATTAACTATAGAAAAAAAACCTGTGGCAAAAACGTTGCGTTCTTTTTTTTGCTTTGTTTTCTTCCTTTTTTTCCTTTTTTTTTTTTCCTTTCCTTTCATAAAACAGACTTGAAAGTATTATACAGGGATTGGCATTCTTCCCGGTCACTGGTAACAATAGCAATATGTGTCCAGGGACACAGAATGTTGGTTTCTAACAGACTACTTCCAAAAACAGTTTGAGAAAAAAAAAAAAAAAACTGTCTGATTTTAAGTCTCTAGAGGTCTGTAATAGTTTTTACATTTTTCAGGCAGTGTAAAGTTTTTTGATAAGGCCATTTTAGATGGCTCACTTTCTCATTAAGATATATATATAGAACCACTTTTTGTAGATTAGTATAAGAAAATATTTACCCTGTTTTGGGGCAAATGCTACCTATTTGTGTCACCTTTTGCTGAACTGACTCACAGTTAGACAATCCATGGTTTAATGCACATGAAATTACCTATATTTTATACTGTTTCGATGTACAGGAGAAAGGCTACTGTGTCACGTTGGTGCTTCTGTGAATTCAGTTGTGGTTTCATCATGAGTCTTATGGTCTTAATGTTCTTTGTTGATAAGACGAGTTTAGAATTGGTTTACTAAAAACAAAAAAGAATTTCAAAAAAAAAAGTTGTTTGCTTAAAAAAAAAAAATTTCACGTGAGGGTGGGGGAAAACAAAAAACAAAAACCTATTCCAGAATAAGTTTTGTGTTGGCTTGTGAAACATTGATGTCATTTTTTTTTAATTATTGTGGACTATTTAGATGTGTTTGTGTTCAGCAAAATGTGATCTGTTTTTTTTTTTTCTTCTAAAGAAAAAAAAGTGACAATATATAGTGCCAAATTCCAAAGGTACTTTCCTTCCTAGAGCTTCAGTGTGTTTCTTGTGAGAAGTAATTTGATAACATGGGTATTTTATTATGTGTTTTGTATAAATCCCTAATATTTAAAAAACAAAAACAAAAAAAAACAACAAAAAAAGAGGTTAAAAAGTTTGTTAACTTGCTATCCTGTGGTCTTGTTGCCTGAAATTGTTATTGTTTGTTATTTCTCTATGATGTTTTTTGTAAGACATTGTATAAGTGCCCGTGTCTCACTTTTTTAACCACTCTGCACATCAACGCTGTGAAGGCAGCCTCACAATGCGTTTTCTTCATCATTTATGGACGCCTCTAAGGTGGGAAAGTTTTGAACTTTTAACCCTTTCTACCCGGAATTCTCTGGAATGTTGACAACTTTTTATATTCTCGCCATTTTAGTTTCTCCATGTCTTTTCCTTCTCTTTGGGTTGTTTTTACTACCTTTTTTTTTTTTTTTTGTCCTAAGAAGAATCTTCCTAGGACAATTCGGAAGGGAGGAAGATGTAACAGGTTCCAAATGTTTCCCCCTAATCTCACTTTTTCTTCCTTTTTTCTCTCTCTTTTTTTTTAAGACTTCTTACTTAATGTGCTGCTGGCATTCTTTCTTCAGTTGCAATAAGACCCTGTTTATTGGGTGCACCTCTGAGGAGGGCCGTAGGTTGATTCAGCACTTGAATAAATCTTTAAAAACGGTTTGCTTTTGAGATCACATTCAGTGGTATGCTCTAGTTTAGAACATTTTCATGATACCGTACAGGGTAACCGCTCTGGGGTGAGAGTGGGCTTTTGAAGGCTTTTGTTTTGTTTCTTCAATATTCCTAAATGTTTCTAACCAGCCATGTGCTGGAAATTCGCAGACCCCACCGGATCTTTCTGAATAAGCAAGGTCTCAGGAGGTAGACAGGAGCCAGGAGCCTTTTCCCGGCCTTTTGTTCCTGATCGAGCACATCTCAAAGGGACTGACCACGTAAGTCTGTCATCAGAGTCGTAGAACAGAGTACCCAGCACCAGTCTCTGCTGCCACTTTATAAAGTGCCATACTGCCCTGGCCTTTACTTCACTCCAGTCAGCTTTGCCGAGGTCCTGACAACCGGCCATCATTCCTGCAGCCCCAGTACAAATGCGAGCCGTCCTGAGAGCAGGCAGCTTCCCCGTCTCTAACACAGTGCAGAAACGGGGGGCACCCTTTCCTCCTCCCTTCTGCACCACACCACCGTGTAGCATCCCATGCGGGGGAGTCGGGGTGGGGGGCTGATAGCCCTGGGATGGAAAGGACTAGCCTCTAATGATGCAAAAAAAAAAAAAAGTTTCCTTCTTACAGCACGTGCACTTACAACGACATGATTTGTATTTTCCTCACACGTGTTTCTAACTGCGGGGCCTTCCTTGATCCTTTGAGGGCTATTTTGTACTTTCTGCAGCTATCAGCTTAACACAAAAGGTAGCACACAGGTTTCTGTCCTCCATACCATGTACATGTATGAGGGTCTGGAGGCACATACAGAGAAATGCGGGAGAACATCATGCGGATTTCTTAGAATTTCGTCACCTCGATGTTGCGTAAATCTCAACAAATCTTTCTGCCCACCCCACCCCATTTTTTTCACTACAGCCAATGGCCATCTTGCCTACTTGCCTTTTTTCCTTCAGGCAACCCAAACCATGACAGTTCGAGGGAAAAGTCTAAGCCCCCCCCCCTTTTTTTTTTTTTTTGGCATGCTTCACTGTCACAAAGATAACTCACCTCAGAGACAGCTTGTCCTTGTATTTGCTTTATCTTTTAATATTAAAAGGGGAGGGGGAAAAAGCTGCCAGGGTGCAAGGCCTGGGCCAGAAGAAGAAAAGACCCACACCAACCAGCCAGGGTTATCGCTTTTCTCTTTTCTCATTTTTTTTAAATCAAGAGTCGCAGACAGTCCTTTCTGCAACTCACTTCAGAGAGTTGTGAGAATGTGGCAGTACTCAAAGGCGGAACAAGTTCATCTTTCTGTCACCCTAGGGGTTAGCGTTCTTCTGGCTTGTGCTATCCAGAATCATTTTACTGTTTCTGTTTTTATGATCTTAAGTGCTAATTAACAAGAAGAAATAAACTTTGAAAAAAAACCTGTAGTTTCATTACCTTTTTGAATAATGTCCTACAAAAAAAATGTATTTGTGTTTTTTTGTGCTGTGAGAATTGTTGTTTGTAGATTAACGATACCATTTTGTTTAGCGATACAAATAGTTTTTAAATATTGTCTGAGAAAAGCCAAAGTGAATGCAATCTAGTGGAAAACTGTAAGACCATTTGAGTATTGTTTGTTTTATTGATGCATTTGGATTTTGTTGTTTGATGGAATTTGAGCCAAAAACAAAACACACACACAAAACAAAACAAAAAAAATAAAAACCAACAACAACAAAAAAAAACACGCAAGCTTTCCTATTTCTACAACTGATTGTACTCACGCATTTTGTACCAGTGGAACTTTTTATACTGGAGATAAAAAAAAAAATGGAAATTTTTGTGGCTTACACATGTGGGCCTCCTGACAATGACTGATTTCAAGTTTGATTTCTGATTGATAGAAAGAATGTTGCTTTTCTTTTGAAAATTAAAAACTTTGGCTTGATTTCTTTTTTCCCTTTGCTTATATCTAGCATTAGAATTTTGTCTTAAAATTACAGCGGTAAGTTTCGCTTTTTATTCTGTATCGTGCAGCTACACAATAAGGTAATTAGATTTAGAAGTACTCAGTCACTTTAAGTGGATAAATGTATTAGTTAAAACTTTTAGGGGTTTGCTTTTTTGCTGTTTAGAGCAAAAGTTTTTTCCGATTCTTCTGTCCTCATTGTGAAACATAACCGTGTAGTTGAAGCAGTCAGACTATTTTTGTAACGTATGTTATTGTGTGATGCAGTTTTTTGCTTCTGTCTCCAATATTAAACCATTTTCCTAATACTTGTTTCTCTCTCTGCGTGTTGTGTTGT